CCCCTTAATAAAGAGGGGCTAGTTAAACTAATGATAGCATACATTAGCAATGGACTATTATACAGCTATTTTTAAAAAATGAGTTAAGCTAAAATGTACAAGTATAGAAAAATGCTCATAATAAGCTGTCAAAGCAATTTACAGAACACTATGGATAGTATTTTCCAATTTATTAGAAAGAATAACCATACATATGTTTAGAAGGTGAGAGAATATGAATATCTACAACAGCGGTTCTCAACCTGTGGGTCGTGACCCCTTTGGGAGTCGAATGACCCTTTCACAGGGGTTGCCTAAGACCATGGAAAACAAAAAGATACTTACATTATGATTCATAACAGTAGCAAAATTACAGTTATAGAGTATCAACGAAAATAATTTTATGGTTGGAGGTCACCACAACACGAGGAACTGTATTAAGGGGTCGCGGCATTAGGAAGGTTGAGAACCGCTGAGCTAGAAGAATATGTGTGATAAATAGCTCTAGGGAATGTTACCGGAATTTTTATTTTACACACTTTTCCAATAAACTAAATTTTTTTTACTGAGAATATACTATTTTCTAATTTAAAACACACACACACACACACACACACACACACACACACACACACAAATGCTGATTTTAGAAAGCCACTTTTACCCCTACCTCCCACCCCCGCTCAGGCATGGAGCCAAATTCTTGATGATCTCAGGATCATATGGTCCAATTTCTGCATTTTACAGATGGGGAGTTGCACATAAGACATTTTCCTCTGAAACTTCAAAGTCTGATAACAGTACAAAGCTGCTCATGTGTTTGTTTTGAGGAAGCTTAAGATGAAAATGGTCAGAAATAGTCCTACTTCCCTTTTCCTAGAAACCCCCGCTTACCTATTCAACTGCAACACCCACTTCGAGCCCGTGGAAGGCCAGGTTGCCAGGGGATATGAACAAACCAACCGCCTGAGTGGCAGCTGTCAGCTGCTTTCTATGTTGCTTCATCTCAGCAGCTGGCTCTCCTGTCACCAGGACACCTCCAAGTGCAGGCTCCTGATCATCAGCCATACTGAAGGTCCCATCGGGTGGGAAGAAGTGGCCGGAAGTCAGGCGGACACAGATGATGGAAATGAGAAGCCAAGACTGAGGCAACAGGTGGATTTGGGTAGGATTTCAGGTTCTGACTTGGCACAAACATCTGTGATTTCTACCAAATCTAACTTTCTGTATTTCTATTCTTTGCTCTGTCATAACCATTTCCTTGGGGAGTCCTGGAGGCCAAGAGACAGAGCTGTTGGCTGGTTTTGCTCTGCCCTGCCCACGACCACAGCCAGCAACACGGCTCTGCTCACTTGTTATAGGAACCCGTCACAGCTCCTTTTATAAACCTTCTCCCGCCTTCTTGCCAGTTACCCTTCAGTCTACATCCTGGGATCCTGGAGTCATTGTGAAGGCTCAGGAAGTCCCTAGGAATTGGGGGCATGGAGATGAGGTCCTACCACAGAAACGCACGTGGAACCTGTATTGTCTGTTAGAATAAAAGCATCCATAAGCAGCCCCAGCATTCCCCAAAGAACATTCCAAGAAACACGGGCCAGGGGGACAATTCAGGGAAGAGAAAAAAATGCTGAGAAGTTAGGGAAACCATGCTTGCAATGCCTGTTTGGGAGCTCCTGTATCATTTACCCCATTCAAAATGCCAAGAAATCATGCAGTAGCTAAACCTGTTCAACTTGATTTAAACCAGCTGTTGGCCACAGAACCGTTCGAGATCCCGATCTGGAAAACACAGTTCTACACCATGAGGTTGGGTTCAACAAACATGCCCAAGTTTTGAGGTCTGAAGATGACCCTAACCTTGAAGGGCAGCCTTCAGAATCCAGGCTCAGATCCCGACCACCCAGCCCTGTGGAGAAAGCAGACTCTGCGAAGTAGATTCCTGAAGAAAAAGCCTAAAACCTAGGAGCTGGAGGAGGTTAGGGGAAAACCTGCCCCTCCAGAGAGACAGACATCTGAGGGCTGGTGAAGATGCTCCCCAGAGTGGGACTCACCATTGGTGGTCGTGTTGACATAGTAACGCCGCCCCTGGGGAGACAAGTAGCTTTGCCAGCCAGGTGGGAGAACGACAGTCTGGCTTTCTTCTCCTGGCGGAGGGGGGACCATTCCAGGCTTCTGTTGAGGAGAAAAGAAAAGGTCACACACACATTTCATGTTTGTAACTGTTTTTTCAACCAGGAAGTCAGAGGCAGATGAAGTCACCCTGGAATAGCTCCAGGGTGGGGGCTGGGGGGGATTGCCCACAGGCCTCCCTAAGGGAGGTCACAGGCCACACTTGTATGATTTTGGCAGTTGTCTGAGTGTAAGGTGTGAGGAGTGTTTGCCTTTTCAGAGCCACCGCAAAAGGAACAGCTTCCTCTAGAGGACAGAGAGAAGTGCCAGTCAGTTAACGGAGCTGGACTTTCTCCTCATAGCCACTAGAGAACCACTCATGGGGATGTCCACTTCCTGGGCGTCAATCACTCCACACACTCCCGCTGTGGAATCTGAAGCCTGAAATCCTGGGGACCACCGAGCAGAGCAGCAGATGAGTCCCAGGGCCTGCTGTGAGAACCTACCAGAAGTAATTAATGCAAGAAACCTTCTATAATAGCGCCCAGAATCGATGAAGAGCAAGGTGGGCTTTTCTCAAGTGTCCGAATCGCTCAAAGAGAACTGGGAATCTGAGACAAAACGGAGACTGTCCTTTCATCATATGTACTTATGTGCAGTTTAATTCTTTTAACCATATACAGTAGTACTTTTCTTTAAAAAACAAACAAAAAAATTCGAGGGTCAGCAGAGTGGCTCGTTGGTTAAGAGTTGGCTTGGGAGCACGAGTTCTGAGCAGCAGGGCCGCTAGTTCGGATCCCACATGGGCCAGTGTCGCTGCGCCCTCTACAGCTAAAATGGTGAACAACAGCTCGACCTGGAGCTGGGCTGCCATGAGTCACCTGCGACGGCGTAGGCTGCAGTGGGCTGCCGTAAGCTACCATGAGTGGCTGGCAGCCAGCGTGAGCGGCCAGCAGCCGGCATGAGCTGCTAAGAGCCGTCCTGAGTGGCCGTCCAGTGGCCAGCGACCAATCTGCCTCAGCTGGGAAGAGCACAATGATCACAATACCAACATGGGCCAGTGAAATGACGTCCTCCACAAATAGACTGAAGAACAAAAGGACAGCATCTTGTCTGTTCCCCTTTCCTGATTCCCCAATGCTGTTTCCCTCCCCCAATTCTCCTATAAAATCTTAAAAAAAAAAAATTGGAGGAAAATGTATAGAATATAGGGAAACTAGGTATAGGCACAGATGTCTTTCCAGTGGTGGAATTCTAGGAAGTTTTTATTCCCTTCTTTTTATTTCTCTCATCCACCTAAATTTTCTTCAATAAACACAAAAATAAAAGTTGGTAGCTAAAGAACATTTACATGTAAGGAAAGAAGATCCAAATTAGCTCACATAATTTCTGTGCCTCCTGAAGAAAGTAAATCGACTAAAGACAGGATTCTAGCCAGAGGAGGAGAGGAGCCATGAATTTCTCAGCAAAGCTGGACCCTGTTCAGAAATATCAAAACTAATCAGCTCCTAAATGTTCTCAGCAACCTCCAGCCATGCCCGCAAGGTAGTTTTTGGTCACTGACAACCACAGCTTAGGACAACAAGATAATAGATTGAAAGTGAGCAGTAGAGACTCCGCTTCCAGGCTGCTCTCAGCTTTCTGCAGCCTGCAAAGCCACGTGCTTCTGCTTCCTGGGGCACCCTACACCCCCTCAGCGGGGATCGGATCAATCCTAGCTGCTCCTGGGACTTCAAGTAAACACGGCCTCCCCGTGGCCTTCGTGTAGCTGCAGTGTATGTTTCATTATGAAGTTTCACAATTTAATTAAAAACCTTCCCCTATGCCCTGATCGCTTCTGTCTCCCACACCTGTTAACCTACAGCGGCTCTTTGATTCAGTTGTCAAAGACTGGCTTTGAAACCGCCAGGTGCCAGGGAGGTGGACAGCAGGAGGGCAGCCTTCTCACCAGCAGACGCCTGAGCATGTTTACCTGGGTCTCCAGCTATTGCTCTGGCCTCATCCAGATTGGAAAATCGTCAAAATACATGAAGACAAATAGCTTTCTGTTGAGTACTGTGTGTGTGTGTGTGTGTGTGTGTGTGTGTGTGTGTGTGTGTGTGAAATAACCCACATATAGGAGATACACATTTTGGCTGAATGGGGTTGGGAGTAAAATAGGAATATGGAGGTCAGAGGACTTGGCTGAAGAAGGAAATATTCTAGAGCCAGATTGCTTCTGCTTGAGTCAGGTAACTTATAGCATCAAAGATGGGAAGGCCAGACTGGTGTTTGTAGGAATAAGCTGGGAGGAAATGGGAAATTGCTAAAGGGTATTAAGTGAGGGTCAGGGACTGACATGGCCAGAAACAGATTGCAGAGGACAGAGGAACCCAGAAGCAGCACAGTGAACACAGTCCTCTGGCCCCAGGCTCAAACCTGACGTGGCCACTTAGTACTCCCGTGACCCAGGGAAATGACTCAACCAACCCTGTCTATTTCCACATCTGTGAAATGGAGGATGATGTTAGCCCAGTTGTGGAAGACACTGTGGAGATGAATAATAACAAACTCAGCACCTAGGAAAGTGCCTGTCACTAAGAGTGCTCAATAAATGAGTGTTTCCAGTAGAAGGGGGGCGGGGGAGGAGAGATCCATCTACGTGCTGAGTGAGACCAGTCTTCACGCAGCCTCCACTGTGGTGTGAGGTTCACCCCAATCTCAGCAATACTGCGTCTGAAATGTCACTATTAACAGCCACGTCTCCCAGGTTTCTGTTTCCAAGACAACCTGACTTAAAAGACAAACACAGGCCTGCTGGAAAGATTAACACGCTAAGACACTGACTACTGCGTTCCGGTGAGAAGGCTGGGCGGTGAAGAGAACTTGCCTAGCTGGGCTGGCTGGGTGAGCGGACAGGAGCTTTGACTCTCCGTGCCCCACCTGCGAAAGCAGCAACAATGACACCTGTCCTGTCTCCACAGCTGCATGGTGCTTTTCTCTTTAGAATGACTCTGGTTAATTTATCTAAATAACCCTGTGAGGACAGAAAAATCCCTGATTTACATTTGAGGACACTGATGACCAAGGAGGTACCATTACTGCTCTGAGGTCTCTCCATCTAGAAAATGAGGACCGGCCATCTTGACTACTATAAAAGGCGCCTGTACGGGAAGCACCCCTGATACTGAAGGTCAAGAAGGGCCAAGAAGTACTGAAAGAGGGGAGGAGGGCACCCAGGCCAATTTCCTAACTTGGCCAACGTGGCAAAGGTGGTGTCCACATCCCCCTCCGGTACAGCCATGGGTCCCCGCTCTGCCTGCCATCTTATTGTGCTTTGCCTCCATTCCCCCAAGGCGGTCTCCTTGCCTTTCCCCTTTCTCAGAAAGAAGTTATTCCTGTTGGCTGGACTGAAACAAATCAGGAGTCAAAAGATGTGGAGACAACTGTGTACATAGCCAAGAAAATTAAAAATAGCACTCAAACACTTGTACACCCTGTTTTAGCATTATCCGCAACAACCAAAAGGTAGAAACAACCCAAGTGCCCATTAACTGACAAATGGACACAGTGTGGTGTATCCATACAAAAAAATATTTAGCCATCAAAAGGAATGAAGTACTAATACATGCTACAGCACAGATGACCCTTGAAATCACACCACATGCAATACACTAGACACAAAAGACCACATATTATATGATTCCACTTATATGAAACGTCCAGAAGAGGAAAATCCCTATATACAGAAAGCCAATTAGTGGTTGCCAGGGGCTGGGGAAGGTGAGTGGGTGAGTAAAGGGTTTTCTTTACAGGGTGATAAAAATGTTGGAACTAGATAGTGGTGGTGGTTACACAAAACTGTGAATGTGTAAAAGTCACGGGTGATAAATTTTATGTTAGGTGCATTTTACCACAATAAAAAAATGTTTTAGGGCCGGCCGAGTGGCGCGATGGTTAAGAACTGGCTTGGGACGCCAGAGGGCCCCGGTTCGGATCCCACATATGAGGGCCAGTGACACTGCCCTCCACAGCTAAGATGCTGAACAACAGCTCAACCTGGAGCTGGGCTGCTGTGAGTCGCCGGCGACGGCGTAGGCTGCAGCCCCTGCTGCAGTGGGTTGCCATGGGCTACCCCGTGTGTAGCCAGCAGCCAGCATGAGCGGCCAGCAGCCGCAGTGAGTGGCCGTCCAGAAGCCGGCGACTGATGTGCCTCGCCTAGGAAGAGTGCAATGATGGTGCCAACTTGGGCCAGTGAAGCAACATCCTCCACAACGAGACTGAAGAACAAAAACGACAGCAACTTATCTGTTCCCCTTCCCCCAATTCCCCAGCACTGTTCCCATCCCCCCAATTTCCCAATTAAAAAAAAATTTTTTTTTAAAATGTTTTAGAAAGACACAGACAAGGCAGAAGTTGACCTCTCGACCTGTAGGCTCTCATTTACAACCTCCAAACACCAATATTACCTCACCCCTCGTGGCCGTGGAGGGGCAGGCATCCTGGGAGAGCTGCTCCACAGCCATCCAGAGGATACAGCACTAGTCACTACCCAATAATTAAGGTCTCTACCAACTTACTCTTCTAATTAGCTTCCTGCCAAGTTAAATCCTTCCCTTCCCTTTCTTAGTCCTGTGGCTTCTCCCCTTCCATTCTGTCAGCTGTTTCCCATGGGAATAGGATCTAGAAGCAGGGATGACACAGGCCCTACCTGTAAGGAACAAAGTCAGAGGGAGAGGGCAGAGGTTTTCTCAACTCAGAATTTCTTGACCTAATGCACAGTATGACTTTGCGGGAGTTACAAAACGCTGCCTCTTCCCCTGGATGGGCCATCCCCCCAGGGTGCCAGGCTGAGTTTTGGCCTCCCTGGGACTCTCATCTGGGTCCCCTTATTCAGTAAACAATCTGCTCAAGCACATATGGAAACTCATCCTCTGAGAATTTGAGGAGAACTAGATCTTCTGCCCCTGAAATGGATGTATGTGTGCGCACAGCCTCACTCTATTTTATCAAGAGGTTTCTACACCACTTCAAAACCCTAGTCTAACAGGTACTCAAAAAATGTCTGCCCTCACATCCTATTT